ACATCACCAAGATAGGCTGAAATTGCAGTAGACAGATAAAGAAAACAGTCGATCAAGTATAAAAATTAAGGATAAAAACTTCGTTCAAATGGTTTCCTTTTACGAAACATTAAGAAAACAAGAACGGTATTGTTTGCAGAATAAAATGAATACAGAGCTGGTTTGTTGCTTTCTCCTCAGCTGCATATAAACTAATAAGTCTAATCGGTAAGCACTAAGTGTACAGGTGAAAAATGTTGAGATGTTAACGGCAAATTTTAATAAATTATGTATAAAAGAAAAACTTCAGGTAGAAGTTTGTGCTGACAATGTCCTTCAGAAGAACGATGAAAGCTCCACGACCAAACCATCCAGCTCCGAGAACAAAACTCCATCAAAATCATTCACCTGATCTACAAGTCTTCACCATATCATAAAAGGAAATGATATATTTTGCAAAAAACATGTTTCTATATTACTAGTGAACTGTTCCAAGTTTTTTATGGGCTATTATGACTTTCACCTAAAAACCATTCTGTAAAGTGATTTATCCATGTAGCTCGGTAAACATTTTCCTTGTGACCCTTTATAAAGGTGTTAATGATTTCTTAGTCGGCTGTGCACTGTTTCCGAGTTGTTTGTGTGAACCCCAGTTGTCGGGTCAACATAGTGAAGCATATTATATTATAATGGTCTATGAGAATATCTAAACCATCTAAGAGATTTGAGCATTCTCCAGTCGTCAGTGTAGATAGTGGTGCCATAAGGGATATATCTCTTAATAAACGGGACGAGCATTTATGGTAGTTTATTCGGCATTTTCCCGAATATCCTTCTCTTAACTCTATCCCATATGCCAAAAGCCTACTATATTTAGATAAGTTCACTACTTAGCTAGTCCACTTTTACTTTCCTTCATCTAAAGCATATATGCTCGAGTAATACTGCTCCATAGATATCTAGTAATCTACCAACTCCACTAGCATCAAAAGTTAAAAAACACATTCTTAATGTATTTGTGCTAAAGTACACCAGGTCCTTATGAAACATAGCATAGCTCGTGCAAGACATTAGGTTCCTGAGACATAATACATCACTAACAGCATAATTTGTTTTATTGTCAGCTTATAATAGGTGGAGAAAGATTCTTTTCTTACTAGCTTTCTTATACCATATACATTGCAACGAAATACCAATATATATCATGAGTTTTTACAGGTACATCATCATCTCGTTTCCACAATCATACGTGGTTGTTTTCCATAACAATCTGAAGTAGTTCAAGTCATAATGTAGTCGATGGTCAATATCATGCTTCTCTAAGGTTCGATAAACATTATGATTGATTGATATATGTGCTGTGATCCTGAAGATTTGCTCGTCCTTCATTGATTCGGCTTTATATTTTAGATTTACCGTTTAGTCACTTCCCACTAAATTACTTAGAGTGGTAGTTCGAGAATTACCTAAGGTAACCTTTCTCATTAAGTAATGTAATAAAAATATAGGAAATTTAAAAAGAAAAAGACATGTAACTTAGACTTATTAGATTGTAATTACAATTAATCGAAGGGAAAACAAGTCAAAAATGATTGGTTCGCTTTTGTTACCAAGGCAGGTGAAAGTTAATCACTGACTATTTTTAAATACACAGGTTAGTGATTTAAGTTAAAGCCAATAAAAACCTTATGTTTACTACGTTAAGATTAATCATCTGACTAAGCAGATATGGATGGTGGCTAGTAGTGGGATCCAGGATGCGCGTTTCGTCCTACTTGGGATATGTCAGCCGGATATACCTGCATCCTAGAGTTGATTTTCACTCCAAGGTTTCACTGCTAGTTACCATCCATCTCTGCTCATAATGCTTGTGATTTAAAGTAATATCATGGCAATCCGCACAAGATGCACATGTGCCCATAAGAGACTAATCAATCACAGTCTTAAACATCAGTGGAAACGTTTAATCAACCAATACGAAAATGAATTACATCATCTGACTAGTTATTTTCTCTTTTATTCCGAAGTCTATCACGGTCAGTAATATGAACAGACTAGATGTATTGGAATTTTAACATTTCTCAGGGAATAGCAAAAGCTGTCTTGTCAAGGGCTGCTTTCCCTCTTTTTGGAACAATTATTGTTGAAGCGTTGTCATCGTATAACAGGACTATCCTATTGGAAGCGAATAAATGTAGAACTTCTTTCCAGTCTGTAATCAGCTACGCATAATATACTTTAGAAATACAACCACAAAAGTTTACTTCTATGATTAGTTTAGTTACATAAATTATAAAACACTTACCAGTAACTTTGCAGTTCTATAAGATTTCAGGAAAGTATTATTATTATTAGTAATTTAAGTGCTTAACTTATAAGACTAGGACGAAACATAAATATATCGGATTTTGAATTTTACTACATTATGGAGTAGGATGTTTATAATTTGATGGGTGAATTTTCGATTATTAAAATTAAGTAGAAAAGTGCAAATCGATTAGACGATATGCTGTGATACGAAGAGCCCTAGTGATGTTGACCCTTAATTCATATGGCGTCAGAAGACAAGACAGCTGTGCAGTAGAATATTTTTACGTAATTATATTATACTGTGCGGTCATCCAATTCTAGTACTAATATACGAACTTCCTATATACGTACCCAAACCAGCGACCTGAGCGGTGAAGTCAAATGTGAATCGGAAGCCATTATTAGCTAACCGAATCGAGAATAGATATACAGATCATCCATAAGTATAGACGCACGTCCTTCAGAGAGTGAAGCTATATGTTCGACCAATAGCATGCATCCACTAGCATCTCTTAATTCCTGTCTGATCTATGTCTGATTGACCCAGTGTATCAAATTAAATAACATGCTTGTATACACCATATTACACTGAGGTAGCTTGGGCAGCGTTCGGCGTCTTGGTAACATTTTCTAGGAACATTGATTAAGATAACCTAATACACGAGTAGACACTTAGAGTTTCATTGATTAGTGCACAAATGAATACGGTAAATACATACATAAATATGTAAATAGAAAAATTCACTCATCATTATTATTGAAACAACTTACTTGGAGTAATTATACAATTGTCAGCCACTTCATTAGTAACATCAACTCTATTGTTAGTTACATAAGTGGTAACATTGAATAGATTATTCTCTTTTCCACACTGATATTGTTGTTGATTATTACGAATGAGTGAGTTATATTTCTCTGTCGACAAATCAGTGTGACAGACTGAACAAACACGTACACGTGATGAACCTTGATAGGGAAGTATCCAACGATAAGTGGAACATTTATCACAAACAACTTTGCCACAATGTCGACAATGGTGCTAAAGTTAACAGGAAACAATGGATATGAAGGGAAAACCGATAATAATAATAATAATAATAATAATAATAATAATAATAATAATAATAATAATAATAATAATAATAATAATAATAATAATAATAGTAATAGTAATAATAATAATAATAGTAATAATAATAATAATAATAATAGTAATAATAATAATAATAATACCAATAATAGTAACAATAATAATAATAATAAAGTGCAATTGAGTAATCCATATGTACAGTTTTTCAGCTCTACATTTGAGCCTTGAATTTTTAAAGCGAGAGCTACTAATACTATTTGAGTAATGTAACTTATTTGCCGAAAATAGGTTTATTTACTTAGTTTTCAGCCAAATAGCCTGTTAGAACTAGTGATACATACGAATAATCGATAACTGAGTAATGAACAGTGTCATATTTTTGAAGTCTTTTTAATGTTGATAGAATTCAATCGATCAATTTGCATTCTTACTAGTAGTCTAAGGGACTTGACATCACTCACATTGCGTTGAGATGTAAATGTTCGACAGAAAACCTTGAACCTAAGTTTCGGGTAAGTTACTACTACTCAGTGTCTCAAATCAAAGTGAGTGTGGTGGGAAACAAATTTGAAATTAAAGGATTGAAATATCAGTGCTTCAATCATTAAACCCGTGGTTCACTGTTACTAATATGACAATTAGTTGATAAAGTAAAGCCTTTCTGGCGACCGTACAGTACAGGGACGAATTTAGAACAACTGCGATGAATTTTCGGATAGTTCATGATCAATTGAAAAACACTTTGTAAGTTCATGGTTTATGTGAAAGATACCAATAATATTAAAAAGCGTATACAGGTTTTACATATTTAGTGAGTTTATTCAAACCTTCTACAGGTAACTCTCTGTAAATTGAAGGAACAATGACAAATAAACCCGTCATTATAGACGTGGATTACCTGTCCTTTGGACAGTTCCAAAGACCCACAAAGATTTTTAAGAGATCCTAATTTGTTCCTAATAGAGGTTAGATATTTATAGTAAGAACACGGGGTTTAGAGTTGCATCTTTCATCACAGATTGATATCAGCCAATAACAAGGACATTTTCTGTAGCCAAGTAGATGGATGAATTTCGTACAATACAACAGGCGTTTTTGATCTGGTGTCACCAGGCTAAGGTTTGTTTCAGGATTAAAGTTTTAGGGTTGGAATTTAAGAAGTGTCTAATCGGCTGTTATATACAACTTATGGGGAAAGATAATGAGTATATGAAACATTTTATTGTGTGGTAGCGGGAAGTAATTTTTTTATCAATTTAAAGGTTTTGAGTGGTATATAAAGGTATTTATAATGTTTGTTATACGTGGTATTTGAATTTCACGTCAAAACCCGAAAGTTGAGTTCTTGATTATGGTCAGCTTGATTCCGTACTATATTGTACCACCTTTCTAACCAATAAGAACAAATCAGATTAGCTACACATCGTGTAGAAACTAACACGTTTCTAGGGATTTAGATCTTACTTTTCATTATATACAAGTAGGAAAATACATATTATAAGTAAGCAGTTCTTCATATAGATGATAAATGTTATTCAATATTCATAAAAAAGCTAGTCTTTTGAACTTTTTCATAACTTCTGACAATATTCCTTCATCTATAAATTATTTCTATGATTTCTTCAATTATATCTTCTAAGATATTCGTATAAATAACTGTGAGAATGATTTTTTTGACTCTTCAACGTTAATTGTTTTAAAAACCTACATTCATATAAACTTGAACAATCTAATCAGTAATTCTGTGATGTAAAGCATTCCCCACTTGTGTTGTGTAGACGAAAGTACACGGTGATTGATCGATATTCTCAGACAGACAAAAGGTAGTTAGACAGATATCTGATTCTATCATTTTATTTTGCTACCGTAGAATATACGTGTTAGTCTCATAAAGTGTTCTTGATCTGAACTGGCTCAATGTGTGTGATAAGATGTTTGATTGGGCATCTAGTACAGAATGTGATCTTATATCTGATGGAATTGTTCCAATGGTTGACCTAGAAAATAAAGTGCCCCATTTATGTAATCGGGAAGACCTGACTTTATTTCGTCGTTCTTCTTTTTCTTTTTTCATCATTAATGTAGTAATAATTTCCAGGTTATGAGCAATTGAAGTAAATTCACGAAATAAATAAGATTACATAATAACTATGTTACAATTCTTAGTCTTCTTTTACTAAAACATATATGACGAGATTTTGTCCACAGTTTACGGAACATATTCTGACAAAGTATATTTTAAATTAGGTCACATCTGAACACGTTAACTGACCCGAAAACAATCTTAACACAATAACAATTTATACAAAATAAACATTAAAATTTAACTAATAACAAAGAATTACTATATTTAAAAATTGGATAGAACTAGAAAGGAAGATCCAGGACAGAGTGAGTTGGAGAATGCTGGTCGACGGCCTATGCTTCATTGAAAGTAACAGGCGTAAATAAGTAAGTAAGTAATATTTAATAGGCTATCTGATATGATGATAGATTCAAGAAAATGATACAACTAAATAAATACATTGTTATTTTAGACTAATAATTTATATTGAACTATATTAGTATTTAGAAAAGTATAAATTCATTTATTATGGTATCATAATTGCATGTGATATAGTATAAACTTCCGATTCAAACATTCCATAACATCATTAAATTAAATAATAAAATTTCATAAAATGAAGTCTTTCAAAATAAACTTTTTTTTTCTTTTAAATTGAATATGAAAGTATAGAAATCTAGTTTTAGTTGATTGTTTGTTACTTCTTATGTTAATAAACTTTGAAATGGATTAGTTTATTATTTATCAACATTAAATTATTGATTTATCCTTCCATTCCTCTAGAGCTGACTCTTCTAACTGTAAGTATAATTTCGAAGAAGGCTTCTGGTGAAGCAGGGTGACCAGAATTAACTAAATGTTCCATGAATGAGCTTTTGGCTGACTTCTGTAATCCTTTCGAAATCCAGACAAGATAATATTCGGAGATGTGTTTCAAAAGAGCTTGCTTTGTGAAATCGATATAACCGGCTCCATATGAGCAAGTAAACTGATAGATGCACATTGATTTAGCCTAAAAAAGGATCAGACCTTCAGGTCGAAGGCTCGGGGTGTGGCCCACTAAGAAAACCACCTGCTTCCGTTTGGACACCCGGGCAGTATCACAGCCCTCACACATATCGAGATTTGTGTGGCGCATATGTATTCGGTGCTTCCTTGTACCAATATCTATGTGTTAAAATAATAAATAATAATAATAATAAAAGAAGGAGCTTATCAGTTTACTTGCTGATGTTGAACAGATTACATTGGCCACACAGAGCGAGCTCTATTAAAATGCATATCCAAAATTACTCTGCCTGCATTTCTAAAGGATTACAGAAATCAGTTAAAAGCTCAATCTTGGAGCATCTAATTAATAAATCTTGAGAATAATTACGGAATGCATGACAGTTAGCTGGTAAGAAAAGGTTTAAGAGATTATCTTCTTACAATACCGATTCACCTTCAATAATACAGACATTTCTGTGAACCATTGACTTCTTAAAAAATAAATGAAAGGTGTTTGCAGTAGAATTTAGAATATGTACTTGGAACTAGTCAGCTGGATGTATTCACATCTGAAAGTTCATCACTTCGTGATTCGATTGCAGTGTTTTTTGTTTCAAACGCTAAACACGTTATCCATTCATTCGTCAAAAACGGAAATAAATCCCAATTTAATTTGTAATGCTTCTTTTTGGATTGTCTCGTTGATATATTTCAATAAAAAATATTAACATGATACAGTGGGTCAATCAAAAGTAGCTAAATGAGAAAACCATGTTCCAATAAAAAATCTCCGGATGACAAGTACATATTATTGGCCAAGAAATGGTTTTATTTCTTAAGTCAACATATGTAGATGCTCTTGCATTTGATTTGGTTTAGCTCAATAAAATTCTTTATTCTCTCTTAGTTTTTTATCAATATAAGGCTGGGGGCTTGCATATAGGAACTTTTGTGTATCAGTATCAGTTTCGGATATCGCGCGTCATAACACAACGGAATAATACAAGACCATTAAAAGTTGAATTGACCACTTATTTATAAATAAACTAAACAAATCACAAACACACAAACCTCAGCTTTACTCAACTATACTCTTTTTCCCTTCATTTCTTTACAATGTTAACCATATTTGAAGCATTTTATCATTTAGCTATAAGGTATAACCATTGAAACAAATGTTTACTAGGCGTGGAATAACATGAATTACGGGTTAATGTAATGCGTTTTAAGTTACATTCTTTGTAAAGGGCTTTGTGATGCACTATCCAGAGATGAAAAGAGGTTTGAATCTGGAGAGTGCCAGGTAAAAAAAATGAGTATTTCAACCACTAATCGACTGTTTTACGAGTCAAGTGTAGCTTATTCATGAAGGAGACATGTTGTTAGATGTAGGGTTTTTATCAGTAGAAGATTAATTAAGTAGTCGATGCTTAAACTTAGTTGTGATGCCGACACTGATAAGAAGCAAACTTCTGGGTACTATGGTTTGGATTTTACACGTAAACAAATTTCTAGAACTTTAGTATTGATGACAGAATGGGGTGACCATGAAAAACGGGAAAATGCCAGATTTTAAGGCAAACTGCTGTTGGTTAAACAATTGTCCACATGGTTTACACTTCGACAGTACTTTAAAATCTGACGACTTGATTCTCTGAGAGTACGAAATTGCCTGTGGGGTTTCTATGCTTCTTTCTTATTTATTTCAAGTTTTTTTTATTTTGCACTCAGGTTGACAATCACGTTGTGGCAAGTCTATGAGCTATGTGGGAACAAGTCTATACTTCCAGCAAATTCGATGCAAGTTCACCACTTCGCGGATCAAACACTAAAGCAATGTATCAAAATAGCCGAAAATAGTTAAAATTTAAAACATTTGAAACAACTTACTCTTCGATGAACAAGACTGAATTCAGTAGTACCACATACCATACAATGAGATGCTTCTGAATCCGGAATCCATATTGGAGATTTTCTAACTGAATCGTATTGCACACCTTTGTTAAGGTTAAAAAATTATAAATGAATTCATTAAATAGAACAGATAAAAAGAATTAAATAGTCAGACTCAAATTTACTGTCGTTGTGTAATAACTTATCAAAGATGTAACAAATAAATACGATTTCGAAATCAGCTTGTCCATTTATTTATTGTTTAATAAGATATGACTGAAAATGGAGTAAAAGAAGCATATTTCACTGTATCCAGAACTTGTGAACTAGTTATACTTAAATTCTCTAGCTGGTTTCCTTTCTTCAACAGAGATCCAGCCACTAAATTGTAATAGATCCATCTTTGACAAGTAATATATCTTACTTAATGACTTATTAACTGACATAAAACTTCGGAGAATATAAACAATGGAATACGCACTCAGCTAGTCAGTCAGACGTGATGGAGACTCTGGTATATGTGTACATCAGTTCAAGTTGTCATACCTCATTAATACAGCGAGATAAAATTGTCAGTATAAATCCAATAGCAGTAGCATAAGTAGTTTTTGTATTAGCGGTAATCGAAGAAAATAGGTACTGAAAATAACATTTGGGAAGGAAATATGGCTTTGTGCAACAAAATAAATTTGTAAGGTAATTTAAAAATAGTGAATGGACCTATACCATTGCGAACGATTTCGATCCATATCACCCAAAGTCTCCGACCATAGGTTACGGTAATCACGCAAACTCCATTCAGGTGGTCTGCACCTACATACATGGCACGGCCTAACAGTCAATGTCTTTATGGACAGATAACACGTCCTTGTTTAGCCGCCCTTACTTTTCTTACAACCTATCCCTACACCAGACAGCATCCAAGGTTTTGACTAGTTCAAAAAAATAAAAGATAAAGCTGGAGAAAATTTCAATAAGGATATTCGTCAGGGGGTACTTAATTCGGGATACTAAGTCACAGCAGCAGTCAAAGCATCAAACCCCAAAATTTCGTGGTAGAAAACATTATTTTGCTTAGGCCTATCAATAATCATGCTTTCAAGTTCGATAGACATATGGGTTCAAAATCATGTCTCAAAATGTCGATTGCACTGCACCACGTACCCGACTCAGTTTCAGCTGTCAGCGCTGTACCATGACAATCTAGGTGTATTTGAGTAATGACCATTGACAAATGTGAGAAAATTGTGTGAAACCCCTAACAGGGGCAATTTAAACCAGAAATTCTGACAACCTGTTATAACTTGTGGCCTGTGTGCCCTGTTAATGTACAACGTAATGATACCGCCTATCAGAGAGTAGTGAATTACCGATCGGACCAATGACGCACAAAACAAGTACGAGTAGTCTAGAGTCTTTATTGGTCCTGCTTCCTGCCTAGACCAGCCAGTTAAGTCAAGAACACCAATCTCAGCCTCTGCGATGATACATTTATTTCGAACGTACTGGGTTTATATACCAACCACACAGACCACATAATACCATAAAATAGGAACCAACATTTGGCCAAATATGGTTGTGAATGTGGAAGGTAGTGATTAATAGACGGCATAATTCAAGAATGGTAAATCGTATAATAATAGTTCATAGGTCAAAATAAGGCTTATAATAAGAGGGACATGGATATGAATAGTTTAGTTATTTAACAATTATATGGTAAAAATATACGCATAGTATTGGTCCATAAATGGATCCCAAAAGTTACCATTCATTATGCTTATCGAGGCATAAGACAACCTGAGTTAAATGTCAGCCACTGGGAAGGATACTAAAATGTACTTTTGATTTAGAACCTAGTATAGTATGACATGACTAAAAAGGCTCAAAGCATTATGGTTTAAACAATTAGTGCGGTTGGGTTCTTGATATCTGGACGTCTTCATTAGTTCCCAGTTACCCATCCCACTAACAGGTTTTTGATGATACAGAACATCAATGTTGCTCCAAATGCGTTAGGCTCATTTCCGATTTTAAACGAGAGCGACTTTTCCTCACCTCGACTAAACCGCTGCTTATACTCTAAGTGGCAATATTAATTAAATGATCATTTACATGTAAGACTAACAGAAACTAATGTTTGGCACTCACAGTAGGATATTTAAGTAAGCGTTAGGAATTATTATAACACAATGGAGTTAATGTTCATAAGCGGAAGAGTTTTTAAAGCGTTATCACTAGTAAAAAATGCAACAAATGTAATTCGCCTATGAAAGATTTTAGAAAATACATATGGATAAAGTGAAGAACTTTAAGTTCCATAACTTGAGGAATACGGGTTTACAACTAATGATACAGGACTAAAGAAGAGAGTCATCCGGAAATACTATTGAACTTGATTGTTGAGAATACATCACGAATGCTACTGTGACCTGAACTAGTGAGATTAGGTTTCACATGAGTGAAACAAAAAATATTATAAAGGCTCAAAGTGAGACCAAGCAACACAAGCTCTTCATGAATGGCAGTTTACAAAGTGACGTTAAGAGAAGCAAATAAGATCGTGCTTATTCAGTTGGTTACTAAAAATACACAGGTTTTGGCTAAAACAAACGAATAAATTCCTTTAGGTAGATTTAGTTAGGGAAAAATTGAATGATAGTAGGTATATTATAGGGACCAACTTGATCCATCGTTTGGTCATTTAAGATACCTAGTTTTATGTGGTTAAATACATAAATCTCATAAATATATGTTATCTAATCTGTCACTTTCGACACATCCTATTTGCATAAATAAACATTTATTGAAGCTTTCTTTACATACACTGGTTTATTATTAAGTCATAAACTGGATGTAATTGTCTTAAATACCCAAACAATGTGTTGCAAAAAAAAATGAGTATTCTAGTTGTTATTTGGCCTACCAGAAGCAAAGTTTGAAATACATTTCTTCAGATGAATTACCCATTGTGTTTTCTCTTCAGAAGTGCTCGCATAAACCGTGAAAGACTTTCTTGGACTGAGAATTGAAAATCCATTCCGGTAGACTAAATTAGTTAGACTATATATTACACTTACTCCCATTGTCCACGACATTCTTAACACAGGAGTCAGCGAGGTCTATGAACTGAGGGCTACAAAGCTACGGGATTCAGAATTAAATGAAACTTCGAACTCACAACTTTCCTATTTAATACAATCCTTCCATAGATTAACACATCACTAAATAGGAAAAAGTGTCTCAGTTTGGGCTTTCTTCTACATATCTTTGTCAAAACACCTTCCCCAACTAACACGCGATTTGAAGTTACTAGTTTCTACAAATGAGTTTATATATTTAAACAAAACATACATTAGAAGGGAATCCAAAAAGCCTTTCCACTTCGAAAATACGTTCTATATTTTGTTTTGGATCATCTCGAGTTCATGAGATATATAAAAAGACAGTATTAACCTACAAAACACTCCATTATCCATTGCAGGAAACCAGATTATTTGTGGTTGACAGGTATCCCCTCAGGAACTGAAGTAAGAGATGAAGTCTTCAGGGTAAGAGAGAAAAAACCACCATGAGTGATAATCTATTAAGATAATCCATAAAAACCGTATGTTAAAAGTCATATAGGAGCCGAACAGAGTCAAACAGTTTTCCCGAAAAAACACAAAATAGTACTAATACCAAGACAACTGATACTAAAGGGTATGAGACTTCGTACGAAGTAGATTAGTCAAGTGAGGTTAAGCATTTGACGAACTGGTGAAATTTTACAGTCAACTAAAGTTAAGTTGGGGACGTTTTTGAGACTCAGATGTGCAAAGCAACTCGTTACATTAGGTGGATGAGAATATCTTCAGACAATATCCTCAATAATGCCTTGTGAATAAGATGTCGGAAGTCTACATTGCTGGTATGCATTACAAAGACATATCGTTCGATGGATCGAGGCTCTATGGAAGAGAATGCCGTGGCTCCTGCCGGGTAGAGAAAAGTTCAGTCTTCACCATGGAGTGAAATATAATTAGTCTACAAATTAGTCCTCAGTTTCTTCCTATTTAAGAGACGAAATAAAGAAAATAGTACTTAGTGTATTTCTGGAAGCATTGAAGTTTACAACTAAGACAGAGTCCAGTCTAAAGGCTCCACCGTTCTTGGATGTCATCAAGAGATAAGCAAAGTCGATAGGATACATGAACGTTCCACGGTGTCGACGAATCTTCGATTCTTGTAATGCCCGAGGAAAATACCACAGAACAGAAATTCTACCAGCTGCTATACGAAAATCTTAGGATCAGAGATGCGTCAAACTAAGAATATGTGTTCTAAAACTAAGTTTTACCGTTATGCTGTCGTGGCAGTTTATGTTAACTCATCCTTGTGTCAAACTTTAGTGATAATGGCTGATTTTACAACTTCCGACAGGTAAGGAGATTCGCAAGAACCTGGTAGGACAACTTAGGTAGATCGGAAACAATACAACTACAAATTCTATTGATAAATAATTTCCATAACAAGATATTCGTACAAATAAAATGACCAAGATGATACAGCTCTGGGAGCTCCATAGTACAGGCTTTGTGCCTAACTAAGGGATACAAAGACAATGTTCAACCTCATAGAGTGTAATAATTTTCTGGAGGTGGCGGTAAGTCAAAAACCACTGAAACTACACAAATAACACTGCAAATCGATGTGCCTAATTTGAAGCATAACTTAGTTGCTACACGCTATATGTTGATTTCACAAATATTAGTGCTTGTTGACCGCCTGCCACTACATTTAGTATTACTCATTTACGAAATCATGATCCATGTAGTTAGCTCTGAGCCACACAATGTATAAGCGGTAGTGGTATTATCCCGCTGCCCAAGACGAAGTGGGTTAAATGGTACTCAATCCTAGAACCCAGTAGCCGGAAATCGAAACCGATTTACCACTAATCCATTGCTCCACCATTGTGTAGCAGGCTATCTTCCGTTCATGACTTCAAATCAAGACAAGAATCCATTTACAAAAACCAGAGCTTTAAAATGACCATATCTAGCGGCAAAAGAACTGTCCACTCTACTTCAAACAACACTTCCTGGAGGTATATTCAGTAGGTCGAATACGTATTCCAAGTGCTTAGACCAAGAGGTGGCAAACCTGGGACAGAAGAATGTGGTATAACATTTGTTTGACACGTATTATGCAATTCCTTTCTCACAAAGATATTGATATCATATCAACAAGAAACTAACGAATTCGCCAATAAACTTATTTGGAAGAGTACAATTAAACCTTCCACTTACTGATGGTCTTTAAACTAAACTATACTACTGGGGCTGTCAGGATTAAGATAACAACTATGGATTCACTGTGTGAAATTCATATGGCAGTGCTGGGCAGCATTGTGGGATTTCAGTGGATACTCTTATTTCGAGCTAAAATCATCACTTCAAAACGGGAATGAAAACCTATTTCTAGCATCGTGACGAAAAACTGACAGCATCAAAGCAAATAACACGTAAATCTTATTCATTACAGTAAAGACTCTATAAGAAACAATGTTATGAAACTTTGTGAAATTTTTCTTTCGTCTGAAGCACACTCAGTTGCATCATATGATTGTTACTAAATTGAATTAAAAGTAATTTTTACACTATTGGATCGTTTTCACAGGACGCTAGTATATTCTCTCGGAACCTTTGTGCAAAAACATCGTTGGAACTACTAAGAATAATTTGTAGGTATGTATAATTCGTTAGAGGACTTACGCATAAACTGAACATCGGTCGTATGAATCTGTAAGAGTTGGCTTTAGGGTAGATATTACATTGAAAACCTTAAGAAACCCACAAGCTGCTTGAAACTAGCATACGCGTTTGACCTTCACTACATTTAAGCGAAACATTTGTGCTCTTAACTACGTGTCCCTATTTTTGAATTTCCTCGACCTTGGTAGTCGTTTAATTTATCCTTAAGAAATTCATATGTTACACTTCTGAAGTGTCTGAAGAACTTAGACTATTTCAGATATCGGAAGTTGAATACAAATCCTAAGTGGAGTTGTTTTCTGCCACGAAGAATTAACGAAACAGATGTTTTAGTGAGTTTTGAGAGGTCTGCTACTTTTGATTTAAAGTTAGAATACCGGCATTTAGAGAAATACTCGCTAGACAGACCAGAAGCTTATAATAAAAATAGTTTTGTTATATCCCAATGAGCAGAAAAATTGTATATCTGACGTTACCTGACTTAATGTGAACTAAATTAATTTAATTTCGTTTATTTATTTAATATGAAGACGTGGTATACATTAAGTCAAGAAACGTCAGAAATACAATCTTATGCTCATTGAGGCTGAACATTTATCACTAAATTTCTCAAGTTATTTGAAACTACCCAATCTTCCTATTTTGGAATTCTCCCCGAAGTTCGATGGTCTTCACCAACACTTTTGGGATATCCCCAGATCTGAGGAAATTTCGAGGTTTTATGCCATTTCCTCTGAAGTTTTCATAGCGGCTTCACCAAAACGGAAGAAATTTCCCCCAAAATAGAGATTGGTTATAGTATCAAACACATAAATATCAAGTCCAACCTTAATATTAGTGCCTATAGGAAAGAAACTGCAGGAACTAATTACGACTACGCTTCCCAGTAGAACCCTTATTATTTTTAAGGACCGGTAAATACTCAATCACTGCTCACCATCTGCAGGATTGATGAAAAGTCTACCGTCTTTCAAATTCCGCCGCGCTAGTTCAAGGTCAATCAGTTAACACGACCTTGACGACCGAACAATATCATGCAACTTGTTTGCATGAATCATTTACGTCAAACAGGTATGCTCTAAAGAATCTGGTTGTATCGAGAGTATCTAATTTCACGTGAGATTTGAAAAGCCAAATACTGATAGGCTTATTTAATTATTTGAACACATAAATATTGATGCAAGATGGTACCAAATATATATGCGCCACACAAAACAATGAGAATTTGAAGAGAAAAACAGAACAAAAACGAACAGATTAGTGTAAGGCAGTGTAATAATAATAATATTGATAATGGGTAAATGAAAAGGTACAATCAGAAGAACTCTTTCAGGTAAGGAAGATATAACCACTTTTTTTCTATGAAGAACGTAAAAGAAAGTTACAGCTGGATCGTCACTGGCTTCTATTCTGAGCCATATCTGAAAACGTCTATAGCCACTGTGTTGCAGCATCTCTTGGACTCCAATCAGGAAGTCGTGGAGGACCAACAGAAGCCAGCCCTTTGCATATTTATTTCATGCCACTACACCATGTCATACGCTGACCACCTCTCCGCTGCGATTGTTGGCTTTTTATAACTATGACGGTGTTCTGACATTTGGCGGAGGGTGAAGATATGATCAATACATACTCGACCGGTACGAAAACCAACTTGCTCCTCGTGAGTCAATCTTTCTCGGGTTTTGAACAATCTACGAAGTACGACGGAAGCCAATAGCTTGGACGCAATCGGAATTAGACTTATCCCTCGATATTTGTTACAGGAACGACGGGAACCCTTTTTAAAGATAGGGACAACTATCGACTCATTCCATGACGTTGGTACACTCTCTACCTCCCAGGCCTTCGTAAACAACGTCATCAGTTCCTTAGTCAGAAAGTCACTACCATCTTAAAAAAAAGCCGGAGGTAAGTCATCTAGGCCTGGTGATTTGTAGAGCTTCAAGAGTTGGAGTTCTTTGCGGACTTCCACCTCATTTAGTGGATCAGTCGTCACCGGCCATGGAGGGCAGGACGGTCTGACCGATGTTGCCGGAGCAGCAAGCCAGTTGAACTGCCTTTCGAAGAATTCTGCCCATCGTCCAAGACATCGATGGATGTTAGTGATTGGCATCCCGTCATCCTCACAGATTGTTTCGCTCACACCAGACTTCTTGCTGCCAGTGGCTCGGACGAGTTGGAAGAGCTTCCGGTAGTTACCAGATGCAGCTGCTGCTTCAAGCTCATTAGCACGCTCCGACCAACAGGCTTCTCGGTCCTTACTCAAGCTTTGCCCGATTTCATTACGTAACATCCTTCGTTTGTGGTCAAACTCATGGTCACCCGGAGTAGACCGACGGGCTTCGATGAGTTGCAAGGTGCCTGAAGAAACCCAGTGCTTATAAGCGGGACGTTTCGTGAACCCACAACTGACTGTACCCGCCATTTTCATGGCGTCATGCAGTTGCAACCAGTGCTCATCTATACTTTTCGGTGGAATGGTAGCTAGCCTAGAAGCTAGCTCGGTTCGATACTTACTTGCAACAGAAGTTGCAACCAGCTTGCTAATGTCAATCCGTTGATGGCGGTCACTTCGTTGGCCACTGAAAAGTAAGGTAAGATTAGCGCAGACCAAAGCATGATCAGAGTCCAGATAGGTACTCCAAAAGAAGCGGCAGTCTTGTACACAACCACGTCAGCGGTAACTGATCGCGATGTGATCAATCTGAGTCTAGGCTTGA